ACCTCGAGAGGCTCCAGGTCCTCGGCCACGGCAACGGCGGGACAGTCTACAAGGTCCGACACCGCCGCACCTCCGCCGTATACGCCCTCAAAGTCGTCCAGGGCGACGCCGACCCCTCCCTCCGCCGCCAGATTCTCCGCGAGGTCTCCATCCTCCGCAGGACCGACTCCCCCCTCGTCATCCGGTGCCACGCCGTCTTCGACCTCCCCGGCGGCGACATCGCCATCTGTATGGAGTACATGGACGCCGGCACCCTCGACACCCTCCTCAAACAGAACGACGTCGTTTTCACCGAGCGCCTCCTCGCCCAGATCTGCCGCCAGGTGCTCGGCGGCCTCGAGTACCTCCACGCTCACAAAATCATACACCGCGACCTCAAGCCCTCCAACATACTCGTCAATCGGGCGATGGAGGTCAAGATTTCCGATTTCGGGGTGAGTAAAGTTATGCAGAGGACCCTAGACCCTTGCAATTCGTACGTGGGCACCTGCGCCTACATGAGCCCGGAGCGGTTCGACCCGGATACATACGGGTCGGGTTATGACGGGTACGCTGGGGACATCTGGAGCCTGGGCCTGACCCTGCTAGAGCTGTACGTGGGTCATTTCCCGTACTTGGAGGCAGGTCAGAGGCCCGACTGGGCAACACTAATGTGCGCTATCTGCTTTGGGGAGCCGCCGAGCTTGCCGGAGGGCACGTCTGAAGATTTTAGGAGATTTATTGAGTGCTGTCTGCAGAAGGACGCCAGTAAAAGGTGGAGTGCCAAGCAGCTGCTGACGCATCCTTTTGTCAGAGGTGTTGAGCCGAAATGAAATTTTGGAATCTCGCGGAGATCTACGAACAAATTTTGGAATAGTTGTTTTATTAGTATCCGATGTAAAGTTTATCTGAATCTGGCCTTTCAACAAAAGGAAGAGATCGGTTTTCCGATATAAATTGCTGATAGAAATTGGGGTGGCGTGTTTTAGGGTAAATTTTGAAATGTGAGAAAAGTTGAGGTTTGTTGCTAAAACTTAAGTGGCTCAAAGTTGAAAAAAATCTTGTGTTCATGTTTTTCTTTAGCTTGAGTGTCCTAAAATATGAGTAAGTTTGCTAAATGCTCTTATATATTAAGATCCACTGTTTAAAGAACTAAAAGATGTTGTATCTTATAATTGATTACAGTTAAATCTTAGCTTATAGATGATGTAATTTCTACTATGGAGAGTGTATGAACATGTATATTCAGTGTTTTCAATACCGTTTTGTACTGACCAGTAATATTGGATACCGGCTATTGGTACGATACAATTGCACACAAAATACCGAATTTACAGTTGAGGTAATTACAACCATCCACCAAATCTTAATATTTTTATGACATAATTACAACTCGTATATATTTATTTGCAAATTAACTAAAACTATCATATTTATTTATAAACAAACTCGTATATATTTATCACACGCTTTCTCTCTCTCCCTCCCTCTCTCTATTCGTCTTCTTCCTCTCTCTCCCTCTCATCTCCTTCTTCTACAATTTGCCCAGAATCCCTCTTCTTTCTCATCTATTGATTTCGCTCAAAATCTCAGAAAACCCTTCGCACCAATTAATTGATCGATCATCATCAAAATTTTAGAGAAAAGATTTTCTCAACCCTCTTCGTCAATCCACCATAGCGACGTCTTCATCAGATTCTTGTCCGATCAACCATGGCCATAGCCGTGAAGCCGCGAGTTCCGACCGCCGTGCAGCAAGGGAGAACTAGAGGTCCCGAACAACAACTCCTTCTCCCTTGGGCGACGTTCGATCAAGTCTGAAGCCAAGAGACGAGCTGTCACCCTTCGTCGACTCCTTCCGGCGAGCAGCAGATCCCGTCAATTCGTCTGTCGTGCCTGAGGTCTCGTCACCCTTCGTCGGCCATCCCGCAGCAGCGAGCGAACAGATTGGAGACTTTGTTTTGTTAAATCGAGTTAAAGAAAGTTATTTTGAATGAACTGGATTGTGTGGATGATTTGAGCTTAAATTATATAATATTTAAAAATTATTGATTGAAGTTGATGTGATATAAAAGTAAGAGAAAAATAATTAGAAGCGATAGTTAAAACTACATGACATTTAAAATTATGTGAGCGGATGAATAGTGAATTATATTTTATGTGATATGTGAGAATGATTCATTGATATTATTTATATTTATAAGAAATAGGAGAGTTGGGTTGAATTGGATTTTTGACTTATATGGTTGGATATGAAATAACTCAACCGATCATAACTGGTTAAAATCGGTTATACCTCATATCAATCACACCTTGAATGTCCCTTGGAGACCAACAAAGTGATGTCACCAAGTCCCAAACTCAACTATATACAGACGTATGCTTAATTGAAATTATCATTTCAAGCTCATCATTCTCTCTTTCGCTCTTCACTTTTCTGCCAAAAAAAAGAAGAAAAACTATAATATTTTTGAATTGATATATCTTTCTTCGATTTGTTATGGTATGATTGGATATGTATTTTATTGGTTGTTGATTGATTTTTTTTAATAATTGTTAGTTTTCAAAAATGTGTTATGATTAGTTGTTAGTTAGAATTTAAGTTTAAATTAAAATATTATATAAAATAAAATACCTAAAGTTGATTAGATGTAATAGTACGACAAAAATGATTGAAAATGATGGTTATTTAAAATTATGTGAGTGGATGAATAGTAAACTAAAGTTGATGTGATGTGTAAGAATGATTGGTTGATATTATTTAATTATATTGATAAGATTGGGAATAGTGGAATTATGTTAAAATTGAGTTAAATTTGAATTTTGATTGACTTTTTTGGTTGATTTTATGACCAATCACACCCTTAGTTATTTTTTGACTTCTAATAATAAAATAAGAAAATCAAGGTAAATATGTCATTTGACCATGCGAAATAACTGTTGTTTATACATCTACAAATAGTCACAATTTTTAATGAGAAAATTACTTGTCGTACGACCAACTTAAACTTTATTGCCCCAAAGTCGAGATCTTTTTTCTTATTCCAGTTATCGGTTCTTGATTCCATATTAAAACCTAATTAATTATCTATTTTTCATAAGACCAAGTTTATACAATCGCACATCAATGTCATCTTTTGTTAATTTTTCCTTCATCAACACCAACTTGCCTCAACTCTCTCTCTCTCTCTCATCATCGCACCGCCAACAGTGCCAATACCCTAAGATCTGATGCGATGGAGGCGGCCAACGGTACTAAGTCCAGGAGAGCATCTCCACCTTCGACAATGCCAGCGGAGGGTGTGCATCTCAGAGCCATCAAACCGCCACCAACGTCACCCTCGTTTCGAGATCCTCTCCCTCTTCGGCTCCCTTCTCCCGCCGTCTGCACCGTCCGCCGCCTCGAGGCTCAGCATATAACTCTACGGGGAGCAGGAACAACTAGTCGGAAAGGTGTGATTTACTAAATTCTCTTAATCCAAAGTTGTGGTTTACTGGTTGATGAGTCTACTTCCGGATCTGGAGTAAACCGGTTGTTGTGAGCTCAGATCTGCTTGAACCGCTTCCCAATCGTTACTAGACCGCGAGATTCTTGCAAAAAACTCAACCCCGGAGGTGTTTTCGGCGTAGAGCCTCCGACGCTCAAGTCAATATCAGAAAGATGAGAAGAGGTTGCGCAACAGCTATGGGGGAGTAGTGAATGAATGAGAGTTAGGGTTTAGGGTTACCTCACCTCCTTTATATAGGAGTGAATATTTACCTGAAGTAGTGGTGGACCTAGAAGGTCCAAAATGACCTGGTCGATTCGTCTCCCCCTGTTGCTGAGTCATCAACAGATTCCTTCTTATCCTTTGTAACGTGTAGAACTTCAAGTATGTTGTAAGTGTGATGAGTCGTCATCACATCTTTGTTATTCGAGGTATGCGAGGTCGACTTCGAGAGCTAGGAGGTCGACTCGTGGATATGTGCGGATTCGGAGGCTACGCTTGACTAATTCTTTGAGGCGAAGTCGTCTTCAGAGAGTCATCTTAGTTCAGCCGACTGCTGAGAGTCGACTTAGGATATCGGGATGTTCGGGCGTTACTCTTGCTGCCCTTCTTTCATTGATGTCGACTAGTAAAAGTCGATAGACTAAGGTCGACTAGGGAGAGTCGACTAGGCCAATTTCTGCCTCTTTCCGATTGCTCTCAGTAGAATCGTCTTTAGGAAAGTCGATGTGAGGATGTCGACAGAGTCCTGTCGACATGCGAGTTGTTCGAGTGGTTCACCGGTCGAGTAGGGAGCTTCTAGACCGGGTTATCCTTATGTGGCTATATCATCTAGTCCCCCCAAAAAAAAAAAAATTACTCTAAGCGGTCGACTGTTTAAGAGTAAATTTGGTGAAGTATAGTTGTGTCACTTTCCTACCAGTCTTGCTCGTATTAGCCCCTTCTACAACTCGTCTCGTCAATTGATTAGGGCACATCTCAATCTCATGATTGCTTTTTGGATAAGCCTGACACTCTGACAGACCTATTTCAAATTTCAAATTTCGAAACCCTAAAGTGACGCGCGTCATCTCCCTCGTCGACTCTTCGAATTCCGCGCCTCATCAGGGTCGTTGGTTATCTTGATGATCCGACGGTTCACACCCATCCTTATCTTATATAAATATACTTCCCTCTCTCAGAAAATCACTTTTTGCATTTCCGAGCTTTCTTACTCTCTCAAACTTCCTCAAGCATCTCCGGCGATCTTTGCTCTTCGGCTTCACCGACGCTCCTCTTTTCCGGCAACTTCAGGCTTATTCGCAGTTCCAGCCAACTACGTCATCATGTGTAAGTTCACTATCTCCTCTCAATTTTCAATTCTTCTGTCGATTTTTCCTTTTTCTGATTCTTTCTGGGTTTCCAGAGCTTTAGAAGTTCATATGTGTTCTTCATATTCCTCATGAACTTCTTATGGGTTTCGCGCTTAGATCTCTTTACGGGTGTACTGTGCTAGGGTTTATTGTTTTTACCAGTCGTCGGCTGCCGATATGCAGTCGATTTTTTCCTGTCACTAAGTTGGCTTTTGTCAACTTAGTGTTCTTCTTTCCTTAGTATTCCTCTGTCGAATCGACTAGGATTGATTTAATGATTTATTTGGGTCGAGCTATCGATAGCAGTTTCCCCTTCTCTGTTCTTTTATCTTCTGTCGATTCCTGTGAGTCGATTTGACTCGTTCACGTGGGTTTTAACTCGTGATTTTACTAACTTCGACCTTCTCCTTCTTTTTCTTTCCTTAGCTTCCGACTCGTCCCCTCTATCCGGCTCCCTCGGTCAGCAGATCAACGACTATACCCATCTAGTTGACGAGGGCTCTAGTTCTGACTCCGTCAAGGTGACCGGCTATAAGATGATTTCGCAACTTTCCGATCCTTCTCTCCCTCTCGTCACTTCTTCATCCGCCGACTGGGAGCAGTATGACTAAGCACTTTTGGAAGGCGGCTTAGTCGACATCGTTAAGAGCCCTTCTTGGGGAAATCCTCCTCGTCTCGATCTTATTCCTCGAGGTATTCCTCTTAGGCTATTAGACATCCCTGTTTATAGAACGAGCCCTGTATTTGTACCAATAATTGTTCCACTTCTTAATTCTCAAAATACTATATCAATAGCTTGCCCCTTAGCTAGGTTAGCTGTTTTAAATCCTTTTTGTTATGCCTCTGCAGCCGAGGTCGAGGGCTTCAGGAAGTTTAGCGGGCTTCCTTCCGACTGGGAGTTAGTCGCCCCAGGTCCCAATGACGACTTTGCTCACCTCCTCCCGGCTGTCATACATTTTTTGTAGACCAAATCGTCTTCGGCCTTCGCTTCCC